GAAAGTTGGTAGTGGAGAGAGAGAAAAATAATAAAATAATAAGATGAGATGAATGATAGTGGGAATGATGTCATTTTCAATTTGTTTTTAACTTATTTAAATCTATTAATATATAATAAGGATTAACTTAATTCATTTTTAGTAATCTTTTTCCGCCAAATTCATTAATTATTGTCTAAAATTAATAACTTAACAAATTTTCATTAATTACATATTGTAATATGGAATAGATGTTTTTTCCAATTAAAATCTCTATAAATATGGAATAGATATTTTTTTCGATTAGAATCTCTATAAATATTAACTTAACAAACTTTCTATTATATATAATAGATGTTTTTTCCGATTAGAATCTCTGCAATATGGAATTTAGAATCTCTTGCCGAGTGAGCATTTCCGTAAAAGAAATAATTAAATTAATTAAATAAATTGAATTCCTAAAAAAAAAGTAAATGCATCTATATGGATTTATTTGCATATTGTTCCGTAAATTAATTACATATTGTATGGGCTTTGATTCCCTAAAAAAAGGAATAAATTTGACGCGTTAATAAATTGGCAAAATCTATACTTATATAAAAAGGCATTCTATTTACTAGAGTTAATAATAAGAATAGTCAAATGTAATTAATGCATTCTATTTCCATCAAGTATTTTATTTAATTATTTTAGTTAATTGTTTTATCTCATAACACATTTTCAATACAACTTACCATGATTTTTCTATTTTTCTATTTTGATTAAAAACCAAATTTTACGTTTAAAATCTTGTGAAATTATTATTATTATTTTTATAAAGCACATATTATTTATTAAAAAATTGTATATATATATATATATAATACAAATCACAGTACCATGATAGATGATTTAAATTTCAACCGACCAAAATGCCAATAATTTAAATTTGAACACCTATGCGTTTCGTGTGGGTTGTTTTAGTGTTGGTTGTTTTGTGTTGTTTAGGTTGGTATTTTTGGTTTGGGCATTTAGCCCCTGTTCGCTTGGGGTCGTTCCACATCACCCCGCTGGGGTCGTTTTTTCGTTTTGTCTGTGTTGTTGGTTCTTGTGTTGGGGTTTGAGTAGTTTTCTTTCTAGCATTGCTAGCGAT